TCTCTTAATTTTTGTCCTCTATTGCAAGTCTGGGAGACCAGTATTTTCTTCTGAACAGACATGTTCGCTATAATATATTTTAAGATTTATTCATATATAAATATTGGCATGGATTACTTCTACAATAACTCTGTATTTTTGAAGCTTGAAAATACTGATTATCTAGACTCTCAACGGATTAACAAAAAATGATGAGAGAAAATTAAAAATACCTTCATTTGTGTTCTAAAGATAGACAAAAGTCTTATAGGTTTGGAATGACATGAGGGCAAGTAAATGATATTTTTGTGAATTATTCCTTTAAGAAAAGAAGACCAAGAATGATGACTCTCCAAATCAGACAACTCCAAAGTTGGTTTGAGTTCTGCAATGAAAAACACAGACATCAATGCGCTGGGTTGGGAAAGCGGACGTGACTCTAATTTAGAGTATTTTTTATTTATTTTTATTTATTTATTTATTCTGTTTTTATTACTTTGGAAACCATTGCATTAATCCATTAGTGAGCATAATAAAGCAATAACGATACCACGAAACCGCGTCCGCGTATTTTTCAATATAAGCTCTTTTCGGACTATTTCCGCCTTCCATGAAATCTCAAGATACTACCGGACTCAAACAATGAATGATGACTTTACATTTTTAATCTTTACTTACCATAAACCGTCTTTCACTCGCTTCCATCTGAAGACGCTGAGAAAATGGCGGCTTCTCGCACTGGTGTCGTCCGATGTTAACGTGACATGCGTGCTCTCTTTCACGTCCGCTTTCCCAACCCAGCACCGCTGGGTTATAGATCAAGACCAATTTTCAACCCAACGTCCTTACCCAGCGGTCTCAACCCAGCAGTTGAGTTGAATAAACAACCCAGTTTTTTTTAGAGTGTGCACCTTTAAATAATGCAGTAAACCATGAGAGACAGAGAAAGAAAAAGTTTTCAGTTTTGGGATTTGGAGAGATGTTCACTTACCTTTTTAAACCTTGCTTGCTATTTTTCTCAACAACATCTCAAACTGTGCTCAGATTTGCCAAGATACCAAAGACTGAAGTCAAAAGTCACGTCAAAATGAAATCAAACATTTTTCATAGAATTCTTATAAAAGCAAATTATCTGAGCTATTCTATTCAAATTAATTGTATTTATTGTTTTATTTTTACTTTAATTGTCATTTTCTTTAAAGGCATTTTAGGAAAAACATCAGATAACGATAACATTTAAATGAAACCGAGAGAAAGAATGTTTTGAAAGCAATAGGACAGTTTTTTAATTATTTTATCTTTTTTAAAATCTTTTTATACCTTGCTTCTCATTTATTTTATTTTCAAATGAAACAGAGCAAACTTTTTTTTTATTTAGAGTAGTGCTGTCAAACGATTAATCGCGATTAATCGCATCCAAAATAAAAGGTTTTGTTTGCATAATATATGTGTGTGTTCTGTGTATATTTATTATGTATATATAAGTACACACACATACAGTATATATTTTAAAAATATTTACATGTATTAACATGTCTATATTTATATTCATATAATTTATATTTAAAAAAATATATTTAATATATAAACATAACATATTTTTCTGAAATATACATGCATGTGTGTGTATTTATATATACATAATAAATATACACAGCACACATACATATATTATGTAAACAAAAACATTTATTTTGGATGCGATTAATCACGATTAATCGTTTGGCAGCACTAATTTAGAGTATTTTTTATTTATTTTTATTTATTTATTTATTCTGTTTTTATTACTTTGGAAACCATTGCATTAATCCATTAGTGAGCATAATAAAGCAATAACGATACATAAAAAATACATTAACAAATAGGTTCATGGAAATTTTAAGAACAGTAGTTAATTACACTTTTACATGCACTTTTTATACATGGTTTCTCATATTTTTTCTAAACTGTGCTCAGATTTACTGAAAAGCCAAAGACTGCAATTAAAAGTGAAGTATCTTAATATGAACTTTCTCTTGAAATTCTTCTAAAACCAAATTAATGAATATTTTTCCTAGTACTATAGTTGTAGCCTAAGTATTGTAGTAGTACGGCCCAATGTTATGCATTTTATAACCCATTTTCGATATAAATTTATATCAGAACTATTTATTTTATAATGACTCTTATGTAGAAACCAGAAAACAGTTCAACGGTTTTACAAATGGAATTCATGCAGTACTGTAGTTGGACCGTCCCAGTTTGGCTGATGGCTTTAGTTGCACCCAGGCGGGGTGGAGAGAACAGAGCACTAATGCAACACACATGAGAGCCCAATGTGTGGAATGCATTGCATCATGGTTATTTGGAGGTTTTTATACATGGTTTCTCATATTTTTTCTAAACTGTGCTCAGATTTACTGAAAAGCCAAAGACTGCAATTAAAAGTGAAGTATCTTAATATGAACTTTCTCTTGAAATTCTTCTAAAACCAAATTAATGAATATTTTTCCTAGTACTATAGTTGTAGCCTAAGTATTGTAGTAGTACGGCCCAATGTTATGCATTTTATAACCGATTTTCGATATAAATTTATATCAGAACTATTTATTTTATAATGACTCTTATGTAGAAACCAGAAAACAGTTCAACGATTTTACAAATGGAATTCATGCAGTACTGTAGTTGGACCGTCCCAGTTTGGCTGATGGCTTTAGTTGCACCCAGGCGGGGTGGAGAGAACAGAGCACTAATGCAACACACATGAGAGCCCAATGTATGGAATGCATTGCATCATGGTTATTTGGAGGCGTTTTCGGCGCTTGACATGGCTTGTCGTCCCACCCTGCGGAGATCTACTCTATCAGCCAGCATTCTCTAATCAGCAGAGGAACATTGTTGACTAATGATGCGTTATGAAAGAGGCCGTATGAAATTAAGCGTTTACACAGCGCTCTTGGTGCACAGATGGTTAGGCAGAAGTAAAATGACAAACACTTCACATCAATGCATGACATATCTCTGAACTACATCGTGGAGTGATATAAGGTGATTTCACCGACAAAGATTCGCATGTGCATTGATGCATCCATAAACGTTTGCGGCTGCGTTCAGTCTCACATCAAGCATCTCAACATAAACTTTGTATTCAGCTCAAATTTTTAATTAAAACAGCATTATTGCTGCAAGTAACATCGCTCGGTTGCCATCATGTTGATATCGGTGCCTGGGTTTCAATAGTCGACAGTCAGCACTTTGGGATTTACAAGAGTGAGTCACTTGTTAAAGATGATGAAAGCTTTGAGGAATGGACTTACAATGGAGCTGCACAATGATAAATTCACAACAATTGAGTTTAGGTTCAGATTATGTCTTTTTGAAAAGGTACGGCGCTACAAAAGTGGGGCACGGTTCATTGTGTTAAAGAGACTTTAGCTAAACCCATCACAAAGAAAAATCACAAAGGAGAGCTTTTTCAAATTATTTTGTCATAGGCCCGCAGTAAGATTCATAGGACAGCAAGTGTTTGAATTTGGAGAGAAATTTACTTGCTTTTCATACATTGCTTCTCAGATTTTTCTCAAGAACTGTGCTCAGCTTTGCCAAAATACAAAGACAATCAAAAGCACACGTCAATATAAACTCAATATAAATTTCTCATTTAAATCTTCAAAATTATCTGAGCGATTTCAATGTGTTTATTTACTTACTTTTGTTTTAGGCATTTTTAGAAAAATCATCAGCTAAAGGTGATATTTATATGATAATCATTATATAAACTCAATTAATTTCAATATAAACTCATCAAATTTCACATCAAATTCTCCCAGAACCAAATTATCTTTGGTTTGGTTATATCTAAATCTTATTATTTATTTATTTATTTATTTATCTTAGGCATTTTATTTATATCTTGTTGATATTTAAATGATATTCAAATTAAAGAGATCAAACTTTTATTTAGAGCAATTTTTTTTTATTAATTTTGCAATCAAAATAGTGTATTTCAGTATGAACTCATTGAATTTCACATCAGATTCATTCAAAACTAAATTATGAGCTATTTGATCTCATTTATTGTTTGCTCATTTGTTTGTATATTTAAACTGTGATATTTTTTATTTAAATTTTGATTTATTTAAATTTGATTTTATTTATTTTCTGTGTTAAGCATGTTAAGAAAAAAAAAACATCAGCTAAAAGTGATATTTAAATGATATGTATTTCAATATAAACTCAAATTTCACATTAAAATTCTTCCAAAACCTATTTATTTATTTATTTATTTAAATGATATTCAACTGAAACAGAGCAAAGGTTTATATATATATATATATATATATATAGCAATTCTTATTTACTTTGGAAACCACTGCATTATTCCATTTGTGAGCAATAAGAAAATACAAACAGATAGATGAAAAACAGTAAACGATAGTTAATTATATGACTTTTTCGCACTGTAGGCCACAGTGGGTTTGATTCGTAACTTGGCCCTGTGTCCGGTCAATCAGGCGCCTCTGAGAGAATCTGGGACAATCCCTCGACTGGTCAACCTGCTCTTGAAAGCTCATCAGGAAACTCAAAGACACGGCTCAGGGGCCCAGCAGACCTATCAGGTGCGTTTAAAGCTTTTTATACCTGTGCATGGATTTTTCATATATCCTCTTTATTCACCCTCACATATAGGCCGAAGCCCTCAAAGGGAGGTCAAAATACAATCCAATTAGCATCAAGGTCCCAGTATTTGGCATAGACCAGGTCCCTTTAGCATTAGAGTTAATGTTTTCTTCACACTTTCTCTCTTTTTGTCACAGGATGGCGTGCGAATGGAGGAGATCGTGGAAGGCTGTACAGGCGCTTTGCATATACTGGCCAGAGATCCCATCAACCGAGGGGAGATCGCCAGCATGCAGACCATTCCTCTGTTTGTGCAAGTACTGAACCAACTTATGGCAGTGAATGCGGTTCATCTGTGTGTGTTGTGATGTGTGGGTGTTGCGGGCGATGACTGCGGGGCGTCTGGCCGCTGTTTGCATGTGTGTGTTTGTCTGTGTTTATATAGTACGCTACCAGTGTCAGCAAAGCTACATTTACATTTTTTTTTTTTTTTTAAATACAGTCAAGCTTCTTTTTTGAAAAAATAGTTAGCCATGCTACAAGCAAAAAGAAAAAAAAACCTTAAGTGTGGGATATATTTTCTAAATACATAACTATCAGATGATAACTTTAAGGTTTAGAGACACATTTTTTCTAGCACAACAACAAGCAATTTGAGTGGGGTCATAGTATTACATTTGAAGAGAGACATACTAATTAATAAAGCCAAATTTATATAATTTATATAGAATGAAACATAGTGATAAATAATAAAATATTTCACGAAAAAAAGATTAAACCTAAATGTCACAAGGACTTATGTGCAGTGTTATAGCGTTTATCTATTTTGAATATTACATTTATTTTTTATTTATTTGCTATATTTACTATTTACTTTTTATACACACACACACACTCACATATGTGGATATACATATATTTATATGTTTCCGTCTAATATAATATTTTCATCTAATTTTTGATGCCACAATACTGAAAAATACTGTTAATATTGTCACTAATTTTAGTCGCTTCCCAAAACACTGTGCATTATGTTATGTAATTACTTTAGTGCATGCTTTTGTCCAAAGTAACTTAAAAAATAGGAAACAGTTACATAAGAAGTTACATAAGAAGTGCAAGATTGTTTCGAAAAGTACAACCTTGTAATGAGATGTAGGTGTTGATAAAGCAATAGTGAAACCTGCATTCTTCTTAACCCCTCTCATTCTTTGACTTCCTCTTTCCTGTTAGCTTCTGTACTCCTACGTGGAGAACATAAAGCGTGTGTCTGCCGGTGTTTTGTGTGAACTGGCTCTGGATAAGCAGTGTGCCGAGATGATCGACGCAGAAGGAGCATCTGCACCTCTAATGGAGCTCCTGCACTCTCCCAATGAGGGGATTGGTGAGTGATGCGCAAAGTGAGACAAAGTTTGATGCCACACCTCATTATGGCAAGCTGTTTTAACATTTAATGTGTAAAACATACTATCATCTATTTTCATGTTACTAGTACTTATTTTTTTACTAGTACTTATTTATGAAATATTTATACCTATTAAATAGATAGAAGTACTAGGGCTGTCATGATAAATCGATGCATTGCGATTCATGGATCGATTCTGAATGCATCGCGATTCTCTCTGGAATCGATTTTGAGCTTAGTTTTTAACAGCAGATGGCACTCTAATCTAGTTTTTAACCACACACTCAAATGCTCACGAAGAAGAGCGCTTGTGAATTCAGCTGAGTCATGTAATTACACCTCAGCTTAGAATGCTTTTATGACACAAGATTAATGTAAACACAGCTCACTGTGAACACCCTTGTAATTCGCTTCAAACTTTTCGAACTTTAAGAATGATTATTTTAGGTGTGTAAGGAACAGGAAGCAAGCAGAGTACGATTGTTTCTAAAGCATGCAGTGCCATCTGCTGTTAAAAACTAAGCTCAAAATCAATTCGAGAGAGAATCACGATGCATTCGGACAATCTCAGAGTCGATGCAGAATCATTACTCAATTTGAAATGCATCGATTTATTTCCCCAGTCCTAACAAGTACTTATTGATAGATGATCATTTTTATTATTGGATACCAGTGCTTATGCTAGATACTAGTACTTATTATTAGATACTAGAAGTTATTTTTGGAGTACTACTAGTAGCTATTATTAGATACTAGTATGTATTCATTAGATACCAGTAGATATTAATAGATACTAGTACTTATTCATTAGATACCAGTACATTTTTCAGTGACTAGTAACTTAGTAAAAGTTTTCCCATTGACGTCTATGGGGATTTGTCATTCAGATATCAACTATTCAGATTTGAGTCTAGTAAATATATATCATTGTGTACTAGTACCTATTATTAGATACTAGTACTTAATCATTGAATACTAGTACTTGTATTAGATACTAATATATATTAAATAGATGCTAGTAGTTACTTACAACTAGTATTTTTTCATTAGATACTAGTTCTTATTATTAGATACTAGTACCTATTAAATAGCAAAGTATCTTCTAGTTCTTCTTGAATAGATATTAGCACACATTTATTAGATACCAGTACTTACTGATCCTTTTTATTATAAGTTTTTTTTAAATTATCTTACTGGTGAGGCTTTTAATTGAACTCTTCAGTGGCCGATCTGACTAGTCGTAAGACAAGTTAAAAAAGCAGGTATGACTAGTATAATACGATTTGTTACTAGTAACAATTACAAAAGGTACTACTACCTAATTAATAACTACAAGTATCTGTTAAATATGAGCTAGCATCTAATGAAAAGTGATAGTATTTAATAAACAATTACTAGTATCTAATGAACACTTACTAGAAATATTGAAATAGATAATAGTCACTATTGTAATACATACTAGTCAGAACTGAATGAGAGCTCCCCATAGAAGTCAATGGTAAAAATTTGAAATGTGTTACTAGCAACAGTATTATAGTTACTAGTTACTATTGAAATAATTGCTAGTATCTAATAAATAAGAAATGATTAAGTACTAGCATCTTTAAAAAGTCATTAGTATCTAAAGATTAAGCACTAGTGGCTGAAGAATATGTACTAGTCCTGATTGAATTAGTACAAGTATTTAATGGAATAAAAAAAGGACTAGTAGCATTCAAACTGATACTAATACATTTAAGGATTAAATGTTAAAACAGTGTGCCATATCTCATGACTAATTACGTAAGTGTCACTTCATGTTGTTAAAACACAGAAAAGAGCCATGTGCCATTGGACAGATCATAGTTTGTACATCCATTTGAAACTGTGCAAACCTTTCCTCTGATTTTGCATCACACTCCCAGTGGAAATAATGTAAGCTGATACAGAAAACTGGCATCCCTGAGTTCTTCTGTTTACAGTATTACACCAGCAGCGTTCATAAACCACCAACACTGACAATGACAGTCTGGGGTAGACAAACGCTGTCAGAGATGCAGCATTTCGTTACGTTGACTTTGGTGCCACACTTCAATATAGAAAAGGAGCCGAACACACGAGAGACCACAAGTTCGCAAGTGAATTCTCAGCTCAACACTTGGTTTCTCACGTAACGTGTAAAATGGCTTTTAGACTCACAAGCTGAAATTTTCACTTTCAGGAATACATTTGGATAATAGTATAGCCTAATCTATACAATAAGCAAGAACAGTCTTTTTATATATATATAAAAAGGCCATCTGACTGACATGTGACACAACACATCACTTGATTACACTTCACTTGATTTGGTGTGACATTTAAAGGGGTCCTATTATGCTTTTTCACGTTTTCAGCTTTAGTTAGTCTGTAATGTTGCTGTTTGAGCATAAAATTTATTTAAAATAGAAATCTTTTGTAACAATGTAAAAGTCTTTACTGTCATTTTTTACTTTAATTTTCTTATAGAATTATTATCAATGTATGTATGAATGTATGTATGTATTTTCTATGTATGTAAGTAAATATATTTGGTGCATTATATTAATTACATAAAAAAGAAATTCTTTGATGAAAATAAAATTCTGTAAAACAGCATTTATTTAAAATAGAAATCTTTTGTAACAATGTAAAAGTCTTTACTGTCATTTTTGACTTTAATTTTCTTATAGAATTATTATCAATGTATGTATGAATGTATGTATGTATTTTCTTTCCACATTTATTAAGTAAATATATTTGGTGCATTATATAAATTACATTAAAAAAATAATAATATTAATCCATAATAATATGTAAATAATCATGATGTATCATATCATATATCAAAAAATCTGCTTGTAATCATTCTCTCTTCCTCAGCCACCTATGCTGCGGCCGTTCTCTTCCGCATCTCTGAGGACAAGAGTTCAGACTACAGGAAGCGTGTGTCGGTGGAGCTCACTCATTCCCTCTTCAAACATGACCCTGCAGCCTGGGAAATGGTGAATATATTTATTCAGGAGTCACACAGAACTCTAGCACACTCTCAGATTAGTGCGCATTATTATTAATGAGATCATTTCGAATTATGTATGCCGTGTCAATTTTTAGCAATCGTAATGAAATAATTAAATTGATACGGCATAACTGACGATAGACCTTTCAATTATTGAAAGTTAATGCGAACCAAGTTGGTAATTCAACCCAGAGTGTGCATTTGTTTTCAATAATTCAATGTTTCAGTGTCAATTTAGTTTCTTATACAGCTATCGGTTGTATGATTGTCAAATGCGCATTGATATTTTTAGCCATTTTTTTGGTGTGTAGATCAGGAAAAATGGCTCAGAAAAGTGATGTTAGTTATCATGTGTCCAGATGCAACTTGGTTTGATATTTGTTTTAATGCAATGACATTTAAATGTTCTTGTGTGTGACTTGTGTCCAAAAAGTTTGAAGTACTTTTTGGGTCCATTGTGTAATACTTTAAATAATTGTAAATGAGACAGATAGGAGACGTATACGTAAAGGAGGCATATACAGTATGTCCAAATGAAAGTGAATGGTGACTTATAGAATTATTATCAATGTATGTATGAATGTATGTATGTATTTTCTATGTATGTAAGTAAATATATTTGGTGCATTATATTAATTACATAAAAAAGAATAATAATATTAATCCATAATAATATGTAAATAATCATGATGTATCATATCATATATCAAAAAATCTGCTTGTAATCATTCTCTCTTCCTCAGCCACCTATGCTGCGGCCGTTCTCTTCCGCATCTCTGAGGACAAGAGTTCAGACTACAGGAAGCGTGTGTCGGTGGAGCTCACTCATTCCCTCTTCAAACATGACCCTGCAGCCTGGGAAATGGTGAATATATTTATTCAGGAGTCACACAGCACTCTAGCACACTCTCAGATTAGTGCGCATTATTATTAATGAGATCATTTCGAATTATGTATGCCGTGTCAATTTTTAGCAATCGTAATGAAATAATTAAATTGGTACGGCATAACTGACGATAGACCTTTCAATTATTGAAAGTTAATGCAAACCAAGTTGGTAATTCAACCCAGAATGTGCATTTGTTTTCAATAATTCAATGTTTCAGTGTCAATTTAGTTTCTTATACAGGTATCGGTTGTATGATTGTCAAATGCGCATTGATATTTTTAGCCATTTTTTTGGTGTGTAGATCAGGAAAAATGGCTCAGAAAAGTGATGTTAGTTATCATGTGTCCAGATGCAACTTGGTTTGATTTTTTTTTTTTTAATGCAATGACATTTAAATGTTCTTGTGTGTGACTTGTGTCCAAAAGGTTTGAAGTACTTTTTGGGTCCATGGTGTAATACTTTAAATAATTGTAAATGAGACAGATAGGAGACGTATACGTAAAGGAGGCATATACAGTATCTCCAAATGAAAGTGAATGGTGACCACAGCAGTCAGGCTAGATTTTCTGTGAATAACAACTTAAATTTCAGTCTGATTCTCACGCAAAACTTCAGAAGGCTTGGAATATAGTGCTTGAGTCATATGAACCACTTTTATGCTTCTTTTTTTGGCTTACTTGGAGCTTGATAGGCCCAGTCCTCATTCACTTTCATTGTATGGACCAGAGCAGCTCAGACATTCTGTTAAATTTCTCCTTTGGTGTTCAAAAGAAGAAAGAAAGTCATACAGGTTTAAAATGGCAAGAGTAAATTAAAGAGTAAAGAGTAAACCTACCAATATGCTTTTAAGAAAGCCGCTAAAGCAAACACACGACGACACGAGATTTTTGCTCACCAAGATCAAATTGATTTGATCAAAAATGCACTAAAATCAGTAATATTGTGAAATATTATTACCATTTAAAATAGCTGTTTTCTATTTGCATATGTTTTAAAGGATAATTTATTCCTGTGATCAAAGCTGAATTTTCAGCATCATTACTCCAGTCTTCAGTGTCACGTGATCCTTCAGAAATCATTCTAATATGCTGATTTGATGCTTGTTACATATATTTGATTTCCTGATATTTGAAAAGTATCATATCCTTGTTCTATATGAAAGAACTTTTAATGAAAATGTTTGCATTCATATTCTTTCAGGCACACGCCGCCATGCCACTCGACCCTGGATATATACCAGATGGTGAGTCGAGAGCCCAGCACATTCACTCACTATCCTTCTGCTTTAGTATGCAACACCACCACAAATTGCCTATTTATCCGGCACATCTCGCTGCATTAGAGCGAAGAGCATTAAAATAAAATGCCACATGACAAATGAGTTATGGCATGCGTATGCGTGTGAGAGAGGGGTCAAAGACGAAAAGATAAAGAGAGACAGTCATTGAATTCGCATTTATCAAGCGCAAGAGCGGTTGGACTGCGTTGTTGTCAGTCCGTCCCACGAACTGACAGAATGCTGTGTTCCTCCGAGAGGGAATATTAAGTATGCGATGTGCTGTTCACTCGTTCGTCGAATTTGGAAATAAAAAGCAACCCACTGAAACCAGATTACCCTGTTTGACACTGACACAGTTCAGCCATAAAATATCTGAAGAACACCCCACAGTTTGTAAAAATAAGAACAAAAAGGACTAACAATGAAAGTCTACAATAAATACATCTGTATGGAAAACTTAGTCTTTAGCAAAATACTATAAACTAATTCAGAATGAGAATGCAAGAATGATTCTGTTCAATTAATTATTGTTTTATGATGAATAATGAACGGACTGTTTCATGGAATGATTAAATAATAAATTATAGTACACATTCAATTAAATAATAAAAAACAGCAACAGTTCGTCTGACTTTGAAAGTCTAACTTGACAGTTTTCACTTCACAATTGTTCCCTGCAGATCTTGGACTGTCTACAAAAAATCTGATGAAAATAAATGCAGCTGTAATATTTTGTCTTGCACAAAACAAACATCATTTTCTATGTACGATTACAAAATTAATGACAGAATTTTCATTTTGGGGTGAACTAACCCTTTAACAAGTGTGACAGTCGGATTCATTGAATTTGTTCATCTGAAATCCCCCTCGGTCACTTACATTTCATTAACCAGCCCTCCATCAATGTCAAGGCTCCTCCATCATGGGAAATTGCTGGAAGTATTTTGCATGTTTTTATTCTTTTTTTTCCCCTGCTCAAAGTTGTATCCTTCAGTGAAGTGATTAATTAAGGCAATGATGCTGTGCACACGGTGTACAGTTATACTAATTTTACCATGGTTAGAGGAGTTTCAGACACTCTGCTTTACTTCTGCACATCTCATTACTGAACACAATGACCTTGAGCAGCTTAGTGCTTTCATAAAAAGGCAGCAAATATGACGTTCAATGAATAATTAAATCTAATAATAATAATAATATCAAATGATTATCAAAATAATATCAAAAATGATTTAATTAATAGGACTGTCAATTTAACATGATAATTTAAATATTATCATTTAAAAACAACACGTTGAAAAATGTCCAAATGTATTCATCCTATGGTCTGACCAAACCTATGTAACAAATATATATAATTACACTATAATATAATAATAGTATATATAATATATATATAATTAATTCTTCTATATATACTTCTAATTCTGTCTATGAGTTTAAAACTAAATTGAAATTTTATTTTCTTACTTTGGCTTTTTAAACTTTGTATGTTTTTTTTATTATTGTTCTCATTGACATTATCTTTTATTATTGTTTTTATCTTATTTGTACAGCACTATGGTCAGCTGCTGTTGTGCTTAATAAATACATGAATGAATGAATGAATGAATTACACTATATCTTTGTATACATTATATGGTGACATTAACTAACTGTATAGTTAATGCATTTACTATTATAAATTTAATATTTTATATATAAGCAAAATATTAATGAAATATTATATTGTATATAATATTTCAGTGTAATTTATAATATTCATATATAATTATATATAAGAATATATAATTATAAGAAATTATATATGAATATAAGAATAAATTACAGAATATATAAGTATATATAAATTATATAATTATATATAATCTGTAATTTATTAACATTTATTAAAATTTGTAATTTATTAAAAATACAAAATATTATGTGTGTGTGTGTGTGTGTGTGATGTAATTTCATAAATCTTTGTATACATTTCTTTTTATTTATATATTTTTAACAATGCAACAAATAATTATCATTAAATAATTAAAGAAAACAACAAAGACAAAAACAATTGAAATATTTAGTTTGCAAATAATTACTGTAACTTTAATCTTTCTCTCTCTCTCTCTCTCTCTCGCTCTCTCTTCTCTCTCTCTCTCGCTCTCTCTTTCTCTCTCTCTCTCCCTCTCTCTCTGTCGATGTAAGATCTGGATGCAGTTTACCCTCCATATGGTTACTCTGATTTACCCATGGATGGCCTCCCGCTGGACGCTGAGCTACATGAGCAATACATGCCAGAAATGACCTATGACCCTCGACAGGTGTACCCAAATCCTCTTTAACAACACTGCCAGCAGGTTAGTTTGCACACGCTTCCCCGACCTCCAATTCAGAGTCTCTAGTTATGGGTTAACTCAGCATTATTGTTTGTTTTCTGAACGTGTGATTCCTGAATAAAATAAATCACAACAAAGATGTTCCTCTCAGTCTTCAGGTCAAATGAAGTGGATGATGAAGATGGAGACTACAAATCAGTTTGTTCCCTGCAAAAAAACACGGAGCAGGGCTTGAACTGTGCAGTGCTCGAACGAAAGAAGAACAAAACACACGACTTGCTTTAGTTCACCACCGGTCTGTTTGTGACGTGAACTCTAAGCACTGCCTAACTCATCTTGTTATCTTGTGCTACTAACAGAGTGACAAAGCCTAAAAGTGTGGTGACGCGATAAGCATGTGATCATAACATGTACATTGTGTACTTTATATTGTTTGTCCAAAGATGTCCAGACAACTCCGTCCTAGAAATGTAGCATAGCTAGTTAGCGGCTCAGCCACACGAGGGTTCGTTTTCCTTTGCGTTCTGTGTATTTGTGGCTCTGAGGCATTGCTACTGAGTAGAAAATAAACAAAAGCAACAACAAAACCTACATCTAAAAACAGAAACTCGTTTGTATTTTCATAATCTCACTATTATAAGATGACATTTGTTGACATTGATATGTTGTCCTGCAAACCTCTTCTAACAGGCCAAGGGCAGGATTTCTTCTGTTTGTGCTTGATTTCTTTATTGTGTTTAAGAGACAAACTGATATTCAGTTGGAAGAGAAAGTTTGTGGCGTATGATTTCATGTAAAGACATTTTAGCAGGCATTGATGGATGACAGATCTGTACACATTACTCACAGCTATAACATACAAAAGTATTTGGACACAAATTCCGAATAAACCAATAAAAAATGAATGCCAGTGGTTTTGGAATTAAATTCTCAACAAGCACATACAAGTGTCCAAATACAGTTGGCTATAGGTCGATTTATTTTCTATTATAAATTAGCTGTATTTTTTAATGACTCTGCTATCATGCAACAACATTGTAAATCCAAAATTAACTGTAGGATTCATACATCTGCACGTATGTCAACGTTGCTAAATTAAATAAGTACAATGTATGGCCATTTTTGTAGTATATTGTAGAGAAATCTAATATACAATGAGTCTATAAAATGCTATTCAGTGCTATTACTGTAACGGAACATTTCATAAGGAGCATGATGTCATTATCCTGAATTAGATTTTTTTTTTTTTTTTGCACAATAATCAGTTAGTTTTGTTATTTTGATTATGCTCTAGAATGATGGTATATTGCTGTTCATTAAGATTGAACACAGTGTACTGTTTTACAAAGGAATGATTAGCATTATAGTGATTGCTTTTCCCACCTTGCAATTTTAAGTCACCCCTAAATAGTTTCCAGCTAGACTTTTTTAATACAAAATAACCCTATTATTATTATTACACAGCTCTCTGGAACACTTTATTCTGATTGGTCAAATTATTGTACGATTATGACTGGTCGACTACATTATCCTTTACTTGTTTACTCCAGAGTATTCACTCTCTTATATCCTCTTTATATAACATCACTTAGACTTTAAATATTTTTAATACAAAAACGGTATTGTTTTACATCATTGTATATAGACAGATATAAATGTGCTAATCTTGTTTTGAATGACATGCTGAATTTTGTGGTCATATGACTGATTATGATGCAAGGGATCTGCATTTGAAAGGCATTGCAATTGGTGTGAAGTGTGATTGCTGATTGATGATTAACTATAGTGGAGAATTTAGCTTCATGATTACAAATCTGCCTGCCATCTGTTGGTATATAAGGAACATGTATGTGCCAAAAGTAATAGTGGTTATATTCATGAAGACTATTCTGGTACGGTTGCCCCAGTTATGCTCAAATCTTTTATAGCAGTGGTGTTAGTATCAGTCATGTTAAAGGAATAGTTCACACAAAAATAAAAATTGGCTGAATATTTATTCACCCTCAGGCCGCTCAAGAGTTTGTTTCTTCATCTGAACAGATTTTGAGAAATGTAGCACTACATCACTTGCTCACCAATGGATCCTTTGCAGTGAATGGGTGCCGTCAGAATGAGAGTCCAAACAGCTGGTAAAAACATCTCAATAATACACTAGTAATCCACTCCAGTCCATCAGTTAATGTCTTGTGAAGTGAAAACCTGCAAGTTTGTAAGAAACAAATCCATCAAGACATTAACTTAAGTCCACTGCTTCCAGCTAAAATACGAATCCATGATCCATAATATTGTTTTCTCCAGTGAAAAAGTCGTCTCGTCTGAATCAGGAGAGAAATATGCACAGATCAAGCACTGGTTATGAGCAGAAACAGTTGTAAACAAATGTTTTGGTGGATTTTGATGTGAGAGGACAACAAGGGATAGTCACTGGAGGAAGCGTTATTATGGATTATGGACTCATATTTTGGCCAGAAGCGATTTTTAAAGTTAAAAATGCCTTATTGATGGATTTGTTTCTTACAAACTAATTTTCGCTTCACAAGATATGACATGGACTGGATTTATGTGGATTACTTGTGGATTATTGTGAAATTTTTATCAGCTGTTTGGACTCTCATTCTGACGGCACCCATTCACTTATTGGTGAGCAAGTGATGTAATACCGAATTTCTCCAAATCTGTTCTGATGAAGAAACAAGCTCATCTACATCTTGGATGGCCTGAGGGTGTGTAAATTTGTCAGCAAATATTTATTTTGGGGTCAACTATTCCTTTAACTTTTAAGCAAATATGTTGCAGTTGTCCTTATTGATTGGCAGCTCAGTCTGAGAAACAGGATCATTTGGTTAGTTACGTGGGATCTTTCATGCCATGGAGAGATTTGTGATTTTTCCTGCATATTCAGTGATAATTGCACTCCTGATGATGCTGTCATCATAGAGTAAATCATTTCAACATGCTCACCTGCAAGAAGAAAAAACACACAAAAAAACATGCACGGAATCTCAACGGGAAATCACAGTGAATATGCATTTTTACTGAACATTTTTAGTTTGACAGTGTTTTTTGTTTGTTTTCAGATAAACTGAATTATATTAACTGTCTCAGCTCCTTGCCTTTTTTTTATTCAAGGTGAAGCACCTACAATCATACTAGCACTGTATATGAAAAGTTCTTGTGTCATAATTTAATTGACTCATTGAAAGATCATTTGTTAAGTACATTTGGTCAGAGTGTTAGAGGTTGAAACACTGAGAGACATTTATGGATACCATCTTCATACAATGAATGACCCACTTATCCAGGCTTGCATTTACTGTTCCGTTGAAGCAGTTGTAATATATAAAAGTCAGTTCAAAAAGTGAATTATTTGCAAAGATGACCAAATAATCTACTGACACTCCAGCCTAAGGCCTATCTGGCACATCTTACTTGATGACCCCCTTTATCACACACATCATTTAACATATTATTCAAAGAAAGCTTGATGTTGTGAAAGTTGTTTTTCATAGTCGAGCCTAAATGCTAAGAAAGCATTTGTGACACATAGTAAGTTGAACATAATTTTCTTCTGACAGTAGGCCCATGTAATACCACAGAGAATGTGGTGTTGTGTTTCCTGTGCAGTTAATGCACACATGACTGTAATAAGCCATAGAAATCAAAATCTTATAGCACCACCAAGTGTCAGCATTTGGCATTTCTGGTATTTAAGACACGTGCTGTTTTCTTCCTCAGTATCATAAAATAGCA